GGGGGGGATCACAATGAAATTAGTAATTTTTTTTTCTTGTAATGTTCATCATGTTGATACATTATTACTAGTATGAAAAGTATAGAAATTTGTGTGTTTTTTGTAGTGTTCTCTAGATATTTTTTGGCCATGATCATTGAATGGCATCCGGTCAAATAAAGCTGTGGAGAATTAAATTTTGGGTGCAATTCTTTAGGATCTTGTTTGGCACAAAAGCCCCCAATCACTATGTCATATTACATTTTATTAAAGACAGATTGTTCACGAGCTAGCATGCTATTTTGTGATGTTGACATGCAAAACTATTTGTGGTAAGTGAGCATTTTATGTTTGACACGGCAAAGCTATATGGTGCATTGGGTCAAATGGATAGAAGGCAGACCAATTAGCCATGCATAACAAGCCTACTGCCAACTATGCAGCAAGTGAATTCCCAGTTGAGACAATGTGTGTTTGAGGAGAACACAATTTTATGATTAAGGATTGAAATCAACTTGGGTCGTATTCGGTTTTTTTCGGTTATAAATCGAACTCAAATAACATTCATTATATGAACATTTGTATACGTAAGGTAATTAACAATTGAAAAAAAGTTTATTGTAGTATTTCTAGATATCATGCTCAATATTTTTTACNTGAACATTTGTATACGTAAGGTAATTAACAATTGAAAAAAAGTTTATTGTAGTATTTCTAGATATCATGCTCAATATTTTTTACATGTTAAACAAGAAGTCAGTCTATATCGACTAGAGAATGAATGGTGTGAATACTTCTTTTAGTTATTACAACCCTTGGACAACTTGTTTGTCATTTTCTATAGTGAGTGGTTTCCCTAATATAATCTTGNAATATTTTTTACATGTTAAACAAGAAGTCAGTCTATATCGACTAGAGAATGAATGGTGTGAATACTTGTTTTAGTTATTACAACCCTTGGACAACTTGTTTGTCATTTTCTATAGTTGGTGGTTTCCCTAATATAATCTTGTATACTGTTGGAGTATAGATAGTAGTCTAGGTCTTTTTTACCCTTACTATGATTTTTATATTTTGCCTAAACTACAAGGATATTTAAGTCACTCTGTATTATTTTTGGCTATATATACGGGACTCTACTTTGAGTTTGAGTATCCCTTTCACATATTTCAAGTTGGTATCAGAGCCAAAACCCTAGCCCCCATCTCTAAGCCTAACCCTAACCTTAACCCTAACCTTAACCCTAGCCTTCATC